TTCCCTACCCCTCCCCCGCCCCGGGGGGACCAGGAAACCCGCAGCCCTCCCGCAGTCCAGCTGCAGGACGGGGCCATGTTCCCTGGCTGCAGCTCTCCCCCCCATCCGTCACAGCCCCTAGGCCACCCTGGCGTGGACGGGCAGGGGCCTGGTAGCAGCGCTGCCCTGGGCATGGCCAGGACACGGCCCGGGGGTCGTGGTCACTTCTGCTTGAAGTCCTCCAGGGCCACGCTGGCGGCGTTGCGGCCCGCGGCTCCCATCACAGGGGGTGAGGCGGGCAGGGCTGCCTGCGCCGAGGCACGCCGCAGCTCCGGGCAGTGCAGAGCCCCTGCGACAAGCCAGGCCCAGCCGACGGCCCCGGGCTGCAATGTCGCAGGGCCCCGGGCACGTGGCTTCCTGCACCCGGTGACGGGGGAGTGCCAGGCCAAGGTGGCCCAGAGCCCGCCCCATGCAGGAGCAGGGCAGGGCCAGGCCACAGCCCGCCCAGAGCCTTGCACCCAGGGCCCCCCAGCCCTCGGGGCCCGGCCGTGTACCGGGGTGAGCTCCACTGCCGCAGAGGTACAGGCCGGGGATGGGGGACCTGTAGCCCGCGTAGGACGGCACCGGGCGGGCAAAGTACAGCTGGTCCAGAGACATCCCTCCATGGAAGATGTTCTGCGGACAAGGGGCTGAGTCAGGCCCCGGCGCAGGGTGCTGGGCCCGGCCGCTGCACAGGGGCAGGTGGGGGCTGCATGGCCCCACAGAGCCCGGGAGGCCAGGCCAGCCTAGCCTCGAGAGGGAGCCCCGGAGCAGCGCGGGGCTGAGCCTGAGCGTGGGGGCAAGACCCTCCAGCCGGGACCCTGCGGGGTCGGTGCCAGCAGGAGCACTGGCACGGCCCAGCCCCAGCCCCATCCTGGGCTGCAGCAGCACCAGCGCAGAACGGGTCACAGGTAACACCCTGAACTACCTGTGCAGCCACCTCCCGCCATCGCTCTGCGGCACGAGGCCAGGCGTTTCCCTCGCGGGGTTTGCAGGCTGCTCTCACGTCCCCGACTCACCCCTCCGGGCAGCCCAAAGACCCTCTCCAGGTCCGCCGGTGTCAGCACGTCCCTGCCGACAACGGACGCCTTGAAGCCGGGGGCGTAATCCTCAACGCAGTTGAACACTGGGGGAGACGGACGCCGGCTCAGCGGGGAGCCCGTGGGCTGGGCCTCGGCATCCCCGCGGGCCCTGGCCTTACCCCTGTCGGCGTAGGCCTCGCGCTCCTGCTCGCCCCAGGGCCGGCCGCCGGCCAACGTGTACGGCGTGTACTGGGTGAAGAGAGACACCACGTGGCAGCCCGGGGGGGCCAGCGAGGGGTCCAGCGCCGACGGGATGCAGAGCTCGATCAGGGGGCGGGTGCAGGAGAGAGCGGTGCAGCAGTGCTGGCCCCCACGGCCAAGCCCCCCAGCCACCTCCTCCCCTCCCTGCCGTTCCCCTGCCCTCAGGCCTGGGACCAGCCCTGGGCACCGGCAGCTCCAGCCCCCAGTCCTACCGGGCGGCGGGCTGCCCCTGGCCGGCGTCCTCAAAGGCC